GCCTTGGGTAATTAAAAACATTTCTTGAAATATGATGTTTTTAACTGTATGCTGGAATTGCTTCTGCTGGTCATGAAGAATTGAGTAATACTCATTTGTCACGTTGGGTGTTGACTCAAACACAGATTAGTTCACTTCAGATGACAGGTTGTTACAAAACCCAGCTGTTAATTCTGTTCCTGCCGTCCACAAGATGCTTTCTCTGTGGCACGGAAGGCTGACCCATGGAGCAGTTCTTTAACAGCTACAGTTTGTAGCCTGATTTATTCCAGTAAAGCAAAGGTGACTTTAAGTTGTTTTAATGTACTGGGTTGGAAACTCTTTAACAGCTTAGGAGCTGCTTGCTCTGTAAATCATCAGTGCTAGTGTAGTAGTGGCACTCTTTGGAGAAGAGTGAATGCCTAGTAAGATGTTTAAGCTGCCTGTATTGGTGGGTAAATATTCTCTGCTTCTGATTCACAGCTAACTTGAGAAAGAATCTTTGCAGGGGTCTGCCAGCAGTTGCAGAGTAGTTGCAGACAACCACTGGCAAGATACCTTTTTTGTGGCTCCAGAAGATTCATCTCAAACTAAGGCAATTTTCTCCAAGAGCTCTGGTTATTAATCACCCCTGGAGAAAAGACAACAAGAAACATTAAAACAGATACTCTTCTTTGGGATTTCCATTTCACTGGGACTGGAAGAAGACTAATTATTAATTATTTAACATTTTTGAAGAAGGTACATGGTGAACACAGGAATGGGAACCAATAAATTTATTGGCCAGGGCTGATTCTATTGAACAAATCACTTGTGTGTTAAATGGGGAGTTATTCTAACAAGGCTACCAGGTAGGCTGCTTGGGAGAGAAGAAAGAAAATGGGTTTGGTTTTGGGTGGTGCCACTGTTGGGAAGGTTGCCAGTTTTCATTGGTTTCCCTTCTTTCCCTTTTAGGATAAACCTTGCTGAGCTCACAAGATAACTCTGAGGACTACGGACTTTGTTTAATTCTCACTGCAGTCAGGAAGGCTAATACTGATAGCAGTAGGCGAGAGAGACAGCCTTATTTTAATAGGTTAGTGTCTAGAATAATCTCAAACTGAGGCTTTTTGTTTATTTGTATTTAGATAACTACTGTGTAAACTTTAGATTTGTGCCTTTCAAACAGAATTGTTTTCTGATGAAGTGGTCTGAATAGCAGAACATAGTTCTGGTTTTTTTTTGTTTTTATTATGCTTTTGTAGCCTTTATTTTGCATTATTTTATAGAAAGGTGAAAACAGAATACAGATATCTTAGATCTAATAAACTTGTGGACCAGATGCTTTCCTTGCTTTTTTTTCTCTTGTAGCAGGATTGAATTCCTCGCACTACAGCAATTGTAAAGTCATTACACTGCATTTAAAACAAACTGCAGAAAGAGATGACCTTTTGCCAGGACTCTGTGGTGTTTGTATTGCTAAGCCTTATCACCATCTTTCAGCAAAAGCCAGTTTGATCCTTAAACATTTGCACATATAGTATCTGTTCAGAATTGTCTGTTGTTAGCTATCTGTGTTCTCGTTGATTATAACGCTGTGCATCTCCACAACACTTGCTATTTGCCCCATGGATCTTCATTGTACAGGGTGGCTGTTATCTTCCTTGCTGATAGCGTATCACCAGCGGTACCAGTTAAGGGCTGAAAACACTTCCAGCATAATGGAAAGTTCCACTTTCGCCAGGATGACTCACTAATTAATTAACCCCTGGGATATTCTGCCTGGGATGGAGAGGCTTCCTGTGCCAACTTCAGAAAAAGTTACAAGTAGGTACCATTATACAGCAAAAGAGAAATTGATTGGAAGAATTTTATCTGCCTTGTAAGAATTATGTTTTCTAATACTATCAGTCTACCTGAAAGAAGCTTGGAAACTAACTGAAAAATAGATACTTTGGAAAGGGTTGCTTGTCTGACTTAATGTCTTCCTTTGCTGTAGGAGCAAAAAGACAACTGCTGTTAACACCACAAGAAGAATGGACTTGGAATAGGAGTGTGGGGAGGCAGCAGCACAGGAGGCAGTAAATATCTTTTTCTCCCAGCAGGCCACAAGCTTTAATTAGGTCATTGTTCAAATGTGGCTACCAAGTGGACACTTGAGAGGGAAGAAAGAAAATGGGCTTGGTTTTGGGTGGTGGCAGGGGTTGGGAGGGCTGTTGGGACCATGAAGAGGCAAGGAGAGACTGCCCTGCAGAATGCTCTTCATATGCCTGTCAGATATTGCTGACAGCAAATGAGTGGCTGGAGTACAGTTTCACTGTCCCAACCTGGTGTGGATGGAGTGTCTGTAACTTATGACTTCAGTGGATTTGTCCTGTGGACTTCAAAAAATCTTGTGACACCTTCATAATGATAGGGGTGATTTACTTTTTATCAAGGAATCTTTCCAAGATCTGTAAGATAAAACTTGGTGTGTCTGTAGCAGACTTGAACCTAGCAGAGTGGTTCTGTGCATGAAGATAGATGTGATGGGTGTAAATATTCCCGTGAAGAGCTGTAACATGGCCTGGGAGCTAGAAGGAAGCTCCAGAATTTGAGATTTAACTCCCAGTAGTTTCTGAGATGGAGCTTTTGCTGCAGAAATGCTTCTTCCTTCAGGACAGGGAACCAATAAAAGATCTGGGGAGATGGTTCGTTAAAACTAGAAGTGTTGTTTGGACTTCCAGCTAGTGATCTGTTAACATTTGGGCATTTCAGACTTGATAACTGTTTACTGAAATACCAAAATACAATATTTTTAATCTCCAGTGGTGCTGCTTCATTGATTTCCCCTCAGATACACACATGTGCAGGGGTGACTTCTGCATTTTACACCAATGAGTGGCTGTTCATGCAAAATACAAAAAGCTAGACAGGCTTGTTACCCAATTCTCTGTTTTTGGCTTGTTAGCTCAGTCTGCGTCTGTCTGGGGGGAAAAGTGGTACTGAGCTATGACAGACTGTAGCTGTGCAGAGTAAGCTGGGGAGGGCGTGGGGGCATGGTGCAGAAAGGACTATTCCTTTGTATAAAAGATGATCTAAGAGAACAAGACTGTGATTTTTATCCATGTTTCTTGTTAGAGGAGAAGTGCCACTAAAAGTGAATAGTGGGGACTGTAGCACCATTAAGTACAAAATTATATCTTAGAAGTTCCTGTTTGTGGGTGGGAGACAGGATGACACTGGCCAGTGCTTCTCTTTACTCCAACTCATTACATGTTGACCTTGACTGACTAGAGTGTGTATGTTTATACAGGCAACTTTGTACCAGAGACTGCAAACAAAAAGAGAGAGATGGGGAAGACTAATTTTGTTAGGAAAATGAGCATGCTAATTAAAATACAGGTTCAAACCATGTGTTTGCTTGGGTAAGTTTATGGTCTAAGTTTGACATAGACTATAGCAAGCAACCGGAGAATTGCCATATGGAGGAACAGCAGCTTTGCATGATTAAGATCATACAGTTAATAGCTTAGTTTATAAATTTCTACTGAGCAGTGTCTGCAATTCAACAGCAGAAAAAGTGTGCTTCATGGGGAGGCTTGAGTGAGAAAAGCATTGTGAGATGGTTTTGAGTAAATATTGCATGTGCAAAAGGGATGGAAAAGCTGCCTGTAGCAGAGAGAAAGACATAAATACAGGTGTAAAAAAACCAAAACAAAACCAAAACTATTTAGCTTGTTACTCAAAGGTGAAGTGACTGGTAGAACTGTCTAAATCTAATACTTTAACCATCTCAAAAAAACACATGACCAGTCTAAGGAAGGTCACAGTATCACTAATGTTTTGGGTTTTTTTCCAAAAATTAAAGAAAAAAAAAAAAGGGAAATTAATAAAATTAACATAATTGTCATCTGCAGTTGTTTTCACAGTGTAGGGCAGATGTCAGCAATGCTTTATCATGTTGTCATCTGTTTTTCTGCCTCAAATTAAAGTTTTAAGTGTGAAAATGGAAATCATACAGAATCCAAGCTCTGTTGCTACTCAAAGAAGCAAGATGCTTTCATTATATTCATGGCATGCTACCTCTACATCAGTAGCTAGAAGTGTCTCTTGCAGACTAGAGATCACTGTCAACCCACAGCAGGGAACTACTCCCTCTCAGGAGACCCTAGCTGCCAAATCTCAGTCCTGTTATACTGTATTCAAGATCAGTCTACTTATCACCTTTGCCCTACAGCTCTAAGTCACTGACACCCATTTGAGGGTGACCTGGAAAGCTTTATGGGAACAATTTAGCTATCCATACAGAAGAAGCTAATAAAAAGTGTATTCAACTTCCAGATATCTACAAAGATCCCTCCTGAATTGAGTTCTGGTTTAGGGTTTGTTGTTTGTTGTTTTGGTTTGGTTTGGTTTTTTTGACATCAACTCTGTGATAAGCAGAGAATTGGCTCTGTTAATGGCAGAAGATAGCAGGCATTAAACAGAGAGTTCTGAAGAGGTAAAAGGGGAAGGTAACAATTACAAAATTATTGGATACTGTATGCCCAAAATAAAGAAGAGCCAGTTGCTTTTGTTTCATATTAAATAAGCCTCCCACCCACACTGCAATAAAGCACAGGTTGAGCAATGAGGAGGAATATTTTATGGAAGAGGAAGAGAATGATAGGGGGGAAAAACAGTCAAGTGTACAGCAAGTAACCAGTTAGTATCCCACAATCCTGCTCTTCTTAAAGAAGTGTTGTATTTGGTTCTCTGTTTCTGGGTCTATAGAGAACAAATCCCTGAAATTCTATTTCATTTGAAGGAGCTGGACAAAATGCTGTTGCTGTTGAGTCTCAGTATTTGGAGTAAATCATCAGTATTGGTATTTTGAATATATCATGTGGTGACATAAAGTTTACATTACATTGGATAAGTTCCTGTGTCTCTTCATCAGCTCTGTTGTGTTATTGTTTGTAAAATCACAAGCTATTTTTTGATTCAGTTGAAACATAAGTGAACAGCACTTTACCTGTGTAGAAAATCATTACAAGTTCTTCTGTGTTCACAGGTTTTGAATGCAGTCTGCGTCCAAGAAGTATGAAGAAGAGACACCTTCTCTGTACTGGGGGATGGATCCTGTATTTTCTGCATTTGCAAGACTGTATATTAAAGATATAAAAGAAATGAGAGAATCTAAACAAGTGCCAGGTATGTGTTTATATGTGCTGATTATGATGCACACAATTATAATTGGTTTATGTTGTGCCCTTTATCTAGGGATTGCAGAATGCTTCATGAACACCAGTAATTTTCCATGTCCCTAAGCTGAGGCATTAGTATCTTTAACAGTTCTAAGAGCAACAGGTTGTATGTAAAATATATGTGAAAAATAAAGTATGTCTGGTCTAATGGCTTTTCTTCCCCTCATATATGTAGATACAGAACCTCTTTTACATTAAGATAATGTTGTGTTTCCTCTGTATAGTGATCCTTGTTATATTCTGATAAAGTTAATTATAAAATGGTGGTCCTTTCTGGATGTATGTATATATATCTTTCCACTGTCTCTACAACATTTGAGAAGAACTTTATGCCTCTTTGCTGCAGAATTTTGACAGTTGATGACATTGCTGGGTGTATGTGTTTTGCTTTTTCTTCTGGATATTAATATATTATAAAACAGATACAGATTTTGAGGTTTTTTCTGCTTAGTTTAAAGATATGATAGATATATGACATTCTCCATACATTTGAATAACATCATTGTAAATTCTGACATCTGTGCTGAATCTTATACCACACCTTTTATCTCCTAACCATTGTTGGAAACTGTATGCTTTGCAGTCTGTTCCCTGCTGGTCTTCACTCAGTATCACCCACGTGTGTACGTTGTCAAAAGGAACATGGGTCTGACCTTGAATTTCTGTTTTCACTACAGAGACTTTAAATAGACTGCAGTATGTTTTCTGCTGTAGAAAGGTTCATTACTCCAAACCGAAGCTTGACAAGGTGCAAGGTTATCAGGGAGGAACCCAAGGAACTTAGGGTTTACTGCTTTTCCTCATTAATGCTAAGCAGAGTGTGTGTGTTTTGTTTGGTTTTGGTGATTTGTTTGGGTTTTTTCCTTTTTTTTTTTTTTTTTTTTCTCCACAGAGACAAGGTACCTCAGTTTGGCTCTTTAAATATGCATTGCCTTGTAGGTTTTGTTATTCTTATTTCTTTTTCTTTAACAGCAAGGTTAATGGCAGTGCTATTCTTGCAGAAATGGACAGGTGTTCTTGTTTTGATCTTTTCACGACCATTTTTATGTAGGTAGGGACTTTACAAACTGCAAAGCCCAGTGTGTATACCTCTCTGTTATTTAACATGATGGGAGACACTTGTCTTAAATCCATTGCAAGAATTAGGCTACAGTCTGTTGTTGATGTTTGTACTAGAGTGAGTAGTATTTAGAGGCCTTTTTAAAGTGTGCAGACTTGCAGTAGTACTGGTGTAGCAAATGCAGTTGGTAAAAACTGTTCCTGCTTCATTTAGAGACATTTTAATTGTTTTTAAACAAAATACAAAACAATTCAATATCAGCAGAATAGGATTGCAGTTTGGACTTGGACATTAGTACACACACATGCAAAAATATAGTCAGAAGAATTAAACTTGCAAACATCAACAAAAATATCTCATAACAGCAGGAACAGCCCTAGAAAGTACAATCCTCTCTTCTTTTTTTTTTTTTTTTTCCCCACCTTTAAATTACCTGAATTTCCCTTTTCACTTCCTTTCCTGTTCATTTACTTAAGTGAGTTGTCTTCTGCTTCAGGAACTCTTTCAGTGTTTTTATTACTTTTTTTTCTAAGATGATCCTAAGGAAGTGGTATCTGTCATGTCAAGATATCAGCCTCTGCATGCGAGCTTTCTCCACTTCCTGTGCATCTGGCGTTTTGCACAACTGAGCTTGCTTACAATCCTGTATCGTTTTCTAAACCAAACTTAAAATTTCATAGAACAAGTATCCTGAACTTTGTTCGTTCTCCTGGCACCAAACCAGACGTCTTTTGGTGTACCTTGTTTATTGGCAACAAATGATAGCACAACAGAAACACTAAAAAAAATATCTTTTGGGGAAGGAAGAGGTAGGTGTTTGCTGTCAATGTTTCCTGCCTTTAATGGGTTTGTTAAAGACCAGTTGAAGCTAAGTATATGATTGGCTATAAATCAGTCGTTAAGTAATGGTAATTAAGAATGAATGAGTGCAAAACAAAGAGTTGTAACTATGAGGAATGGAAAGAAACACAGACTGAATGTCAGGAAAAACATCCTTAGAATGACATCTGCTAAACTGTGGAGCAGCCTTCCCAGGAAAAAGGTGGGATGCCCTTCACTGAGATTGTTTATATCCTGACTGTACAGATTGCCAGGAATTTACTGTACGGAACAGCCTTGCATTGGCCCTGAGGAAATGGACTGAATGACCTAATAAGTTTTTTTCTTTCCATTTTAAGCGTTAGGATTTGATGCCACAATGACTAATCCCTTAAAACAACACAGAGGAAAGCAGTAAACCTGGCCAATTACTCTCATGCTATAAATGGTGACAAGAAGGCTGGAAAACCTCCCAGATAAAAACAGCAATTGTGTTGTTTTAGAGGCCTGGAAATGAGAGTGGGTGTCAAACTCGGTTGTAACACATAATCACACCATGGAAATGAACCTTTCTCAGAGTTATCATGCACCACTGCATTGTGACAGCTTCTCAACAAGCAAAGGAAGCTACAAATAGCATAAAAGGAGGTAATAATAATTAAAGCAATGGCAAACAGCTCAGTGCTCAGTAATGCTGGTAAAGACATGACCAGAACTTGCCCTGGGGAGCTCTGTATCTATACCCCCCTATACCACTGCTGTGGCTTCCTGTTGTGGTAGCAGCAGATTAGTGTATGTGTTGTTTGCTGGGTTACTAGGAGCTTGACTGAATGTACTTGCACATAGTTTCAAATGTGCAGTATATTTTTATTGCTACTAAGATGAACATACTTTGAACAAAGAAGCTGTCGGGAGAAACAGTTTACACCTTGAAGTTGTCAAGTTAAACAACTTTTTAATAGTGTAAATATAATTTTATCTTTCAAATGAATTCAGGTAGTTTCTCAGAGAGTGGAGTTCTATGTGCATTTATGTGGATAGAGAGAACCAGTTTTATCTTGTCTCTGTCATTTGCCAAAACTCTGCTTATGAACTGGAAAATGAACACAATAACATGTTGCTTGTTTGCACAGTGAAGAGCTTGGAGTCTCTGCTCCACAGACTTACCCTGAAAGTGACCCAGACCTTCTTTTATAGGAATTTTGTAAGCTTTAGTGAATAATTATATACACTGGGAGCATCTCCTGAGGGTTTCTAAAGCAGTCTTTATTGGTGTCCTGGTAAATGGAATGAGAGAAAAATAGACAGACCGGCTAAACATGCCCTACACCAGGCCTGGCCAGTGACCGCGCCATTAGTGTAACCAGCTCTAAGATAACAGCAATAGATGCATCCTCAAAACATGGCAGTGGATTTTTATGAGCAAAACTTCTGTTTATGAACTACTTGTCTGATCACTTATGATTTTTTTTTTTTCTGAAACTTTGGGTTTTTTGTCTTTCTTATGTGAAGAAAGTTAATTCCAGGCTCATTTAAGGCTACCAGCTATGTAGGACAAGTTATTTTTGGATTTTGGTTTTTCTTTTCTTTCTTTTTTTTTTAGTATATACAGAACGTTTTCTGACTTCCTTGCTGCAGCGTTTTTCTTTCCCTTTGTAAGAATAAGATTTGCCACAGTGTATGGAGCCAAATGTTCCTTTCAGAGTCCCTTGAGTTATCTAGTTTTTAGAAGACAGTTATTGAATGTCCCAGATGGCATATTTCAGTAAAGCAGCAGTATTTGAAAACTGAAGAAAACACACTGACTGAAAATTAGCCAGCCCAGGATATATCTGGAGCTTATTGCCCTATTATCTTCCTCTTAGTGGTCTGTGAAGCTTCAGTGTTATTTGTTTACATCGGTGTTTGTTAACATTGGTCACCCTCTTGAAAAGGATTACAGCATGTGGCAGCCTCAGTGCTGTCAAAGTCCGCTGGGCTCTGATTCCTCGCTGTTTCCTGGACGTATTTTTACAGGTTATTCTTATTCAAGTCATCTTTATAGATGCACAAAAATAGCTTTGAAGGGATGTTTTTAGAACGTGTTATTTCAGAAACTGAAGTTCAGGATGCTGTCCACGATGACTGCACAGTGTACTCCACAATCTGAGGGTTGTTTCTCTCCCCCTGCCCCCAGTGGCTCCTGTTCTTTTAGAAATGAAAGATAGAATTATGTTAGTTTTCCTTTTGGAGGTTCTGCCTTAATCAGTAACAGCTGCATTGTGAGAAGCTCAAAATGCTTCCATTGTGTTCTATTATTTATTCTGAAGCCTGGTTAAGATGTTTAAAAAAAACCCAAAACAAAAACAAAAAAACCCCAAACCAAAGTGAAACAACAAAATGCTGAAGGAAAAAAAAAAACCCCAACAAACCACTAAAAAAAACCCTAATGCCTGGAGCAAAAAACCCTATTTTTCAGATCCAAATGTGCATGAAAACAAGAGGTTAATAAAGTTCTGACACTCTGCAAAAGCGAGTTTTGGAATCCTAAGTAGAGCTGATAATTCTTCCTTCTAGCGTTCCCAGTCCTCATTGATCCAGGGGATTTTTCACATGAGTAGGCATAGATATAGTTTGAAATATATTAAATATGTAAGAAAGTTTTTTGCTGATTAATGTTACTATGTAGGGCAGGATGTTGAAAGAAATATATTGTTATGCTTACCAAGAACGTTCTGTGTCTAGGTGTATTCTTTTATAATGGACATCCAGTAAGACAGGTGGATGTTGTCGGGATAGTGGTTCAAAGGAAAGAGCAAGATGCCTTTTATAACTATGGAGGTAAGAAAAGTTTCTTTCTTTTTTCTTGCACTTAGCAGCCTTCTAATCCTAGTTACCATTAGAATTTAAAGGTTGCCTTACTTGATCATTGTCTACTCTTGAAACAATGGTGCTCTTACCCTAATATAATGAATATCTGCAGCTCAGATTACTTATCAGACTTAGTGAAGATACTGTTTATCTCCACAGAAGTAGAGAAACAAATAGTTAAAGCAGAGTAACCGATTCATTTGAGGTCACCTAGCAAATCTTAATTTTGGTTATTGCTTTGCCACAGGACTCCACCGTCTTCCTCTCACACATATGCAGTTCTTTTGGTCAGATTTATGTTAATAAGAGATTTAACAGTGCCTGCAAATGGGAAGTCACTTCTTCCTTTTTTGAACCTTAGAAATCTCTTCTGACTTCTTGTATGTTTTGTTGTGTCTTGGAGCCAGCTTTTAGTAGCAGTCAGGAGCTTGTTTAAATTTACATGTGCAAGAGCCTTAGCAAATCTAACTCAAGCATCATAGTACCAGTCCTCGCCATCACCAGCTGGGAGCTGTCTCCTCCCTATTGCTTTTCCCAGTTTTCAGACTATTTTATTAACATGGCAACATCTGATTGTCATTTTGTTAAGTTCTCTTTTTTAGCTGGAGAAAAAGCAGAGTGGAGTAGTGGAGATATGGCAGGTTTCAAAAGGTGGGGGAGGTCATCTCCCAGTAGGATGAGGGAGCCAAATGCATAGATCCTGTTGAACACTTGAAGAACTCGTGTCCAGTGTCTTCCTCTGCCATGGGTTTCCACCTGATGGAGGTAAATCATGGAGTGCCTCTTCTTACCCAGTTCCCTCACTTATAAAACTGAGGCAATTCCCTGACTCACAGGAGTATTGTGAAGACCTAGCTGACAACTTAACCAGGTCCGAGCTTCCACAACACCTGCAGTTGCATCACACTGCTGCAGAGTAGCAGTAACTGCTAGTGCATATAGCATACCTTGCACTGGGTGCAGCTGCTTAGAGTTCACTCTGTGCTGTATGGAAATGTCCCTGCAGGTTTATGTCTAATTTCTGGATGTACATTATTACCCTGCCATTACACTAAATAACAAGTTGACAATAAATATTTTGAAGCACAAGTTTCTCTGGCACTTGAAGTAGCACAGGCTAAACAAGCACCTAAGTTAAGAGGTGGAGATATAATTGATGATGTAATGAAGTGTTGAAACATAAATTGAATGCCAGCTATTATTCTCTTATTGCACTAGTATGCAAATAGAGTTATCACTTCATGAGAACAGAGGAACACAGAATAAAAATGACCAAGGTAAAAACAATTCTACAGGCAAGGGTTTCTCATGCGACTGTCAGCATTGGTTTGGATGTAAATTTGTTGGAAATTTTTGATTGAGGCAGAAAACAGAGGAATAGAGAGAAAAAAAAAAGAAAGAAACTGCAGAGTGGTGGAAGGCCTTAGTGTTAGATCAGTCGACCTTTAAGTACAGCTCTCAGTGAGCCAGGCTTCCTGCTGTCCTTTCACATCCAGCTCTGCTCTTTGTTCCAGCAGTTCCTGGTTTGAGCTGTCAGGCTACCTGCCAGGATGGCCCTCCCCAGCCTGCCCTCCCTTTCAGGGAGGCTGACTCGCCAGTGTAAAATTGTAACTTCTTAGACAGTTTCCTGCTTGTATCTTCTTGCCTCTCTCAGTTCCACAGACTGGTTGGTGAGTCACAGAGCAGGCATTGCTTCAGTTGGAGTGCTGCACACTGCACAGTACGTGCACATTTTCCATTTGCTTTCAAGTGACTTACAAAGCAATTCCCCTTTTGTACTTTTTCTCTGATAGAGAACTGAAATGTCTTTGTATCACTGCCCCTGTCTTCCCCCCCTCATTTCCTATCTGTCTACTGCAGAATGTGCACCACTCATTTTAAGAGAATCTTAGGTCCTCTCTGTGCTGGAAAACCTTACAACCAGAACTGGTGACAAAATAGTAATTGTGAAAGAGTGAATTGACTCTTTCTTGGCTTTTAAAAAACAAAACAAAACCAGAAAAACCCAAAACAAACAAACAAACAAACCCAATAAAACTTACCTGCCATGTAAAGCCCAATTTTCACATTTTGATTTGATTGTTTATTTCCATTATTATGATCTGTTAGAAGCAGGATATCTAATTAAAGTGTAGCTTTGAACAAGCTCATATTTTAGATAATGTATCTTTCAGACCTTTTGTTTTTGTTCCTTTACTTTTTTTAAAAAACAAACAATATCAGATATGGTTTTCCTTGTACTCTAGAACTGTTTTGAAAGGCTGAAAGGCACTTGCATTAAAAACAAACAAAAAATCTCACCAGGATCACAGTAGGCTCACATAGGTCCAGCAAGAACCACAATAACCTTTTCGTTATAAAGAAATAAAAATGAATACAAATATCTCATTTATCAGGTGGCTTTGAGAGTGCTACCCCTCAAATAGTTAATATAAGAGTAAAAAAAACCCAAAATAACAAAAAAACTAAACACAAAGAAACAAACCAGAAAAAAAAAACCCAAAAAACAAACCCCAAACCAACAAAAACAAAAGTTTAAACCCAAGGAGATGAGGAAGTACAGCACAGGGAGCACAGGAAGTTTTCAAAAGCTTGTAGACCCTTTGAGTGTATTTAAAATAGATTAACATTCTCCTGTCTAATTAGAATACAATTGCAAGAGCTCTCATTCATCTGTGCTTCAGGAGTTATTTGCCTTTTTGCTCAAAGCTTTTATTTGTGAACTGGGAAAACTTTGTTTCAGAGCCTTGCACTGCTACCAGATTCCCTGTGTGGTCGAGAAGAGGTCAGTCTCTCCAGGACTCCATTTTCATCTGTTACATTGATGAGGAGCTGTCTGGCCTCCTAATCCTTCAATCTTGTTTGGTTTTTTTCTAAACCCTTTTTAGGAAGCATTCTGTCACAGTTGGTGCAACAGAGCCAGTTGCAAGCTGGAACATCTAGAAGTTGCAGTAATGTAATAGTGACATATCATCTGCTCTGTTTCTTATTGGCATTACTGGCTTGCATTAATGGCTTGGCATGGTATACAAGGGCTCTCCTACTGAAATAATTGCTTGTTGTCTATACCAAGGAGGGGAAAACCTACCAGCTAGATCATTATTTATGCTCTGGTACAAAATCAAAACTGCTGAAATAGCTGCAGACACAGCAGCTCAAAACAGGGATAGCAATGACAGGAGCACACGTTTGTTATGGAATTTGGAATTGCTTGCATCTTATAAATGCTGTATGTTTGTTATTAGGAATGTGTAGCTAAGCCACTGGGAAACAGGAAGGCAAGACAATTATTTGAAATTGGACCCCCCCAAATAGGGAGATTGTTTCAAAGTATGTGGGACAATGCAAAGGCATTTTGCTTTGATGCTCTGGTTCCCAGAGGAAACGACTGCAGGTACCAATCAGTAGCTTCCTGGTAAACATTGCTGTTGGTTTTATAGTCATGGATCTGGTTTAAGGAGCAGAAGAAAACTGCAGGTTCCAATTTGTGAGGAGTGGAAATTCAATCTTGGAGATGGCTGTATTCAAGGAGCAAGGTGCTTGGTGCGTTAGCTGAACTGGAAATGTGATCCTTGCTGTGGTTTGACAGGTGTTTAGTGACTTTTTATTTAGAGAGTATTTGTTGGACACGCCATCTATATGTAGTCTCTTGTTCTGTGGAAATACTGATTCTTCTAATAGTTTTTTAGGGTTTTTTGTGTTTTTTCTTGTTCTGCTGTCCTTGACAATGCAGCGCCTGGGGCAGAAATCACAGAACCTATTTTGATTAGGTACAAGGAAAACAGGAAAAGCTAGACAGCTCCCATGCTCAGGAGAAGGTGTTAAGCTTTTTCAGCAAAGGAAGTGGCTTGCATGCCACCAGTAGGTATACTTTAAGTTAGGAATTCCTAGCCTAAAGCAGAACCACAAGCATGTGCTGTCCTCTGTCCTTCCTGGCTGGAGGAGCTGCTCTCTGGGACATCTTCTTGTACGGGCAAGGGCAGCGGACTCTGTGCACAGTATTAGTGTGGAAAACAAGGCAGCTGGAGGTAGCAGCGCTTCTAGTCTGTTCACATGACTGTACCCCCAGTGTTGAAGTGCTGTTTTCTCATTGTTACAGTAATCACAGGATGGTGGGGGTTGGAAGGGACCTCTGGAGATCATCCAGTCCAGCCCCCCTGCCAAAGCAGGTTCATCTAGAGCAATTTGCACAGGATGGCATCCAGGCAGGTTTTGAACATCTCCAGAGAAGGAGACTCCACAGCCTCTCTGGGCAGCCTGTCCCAGTGCTCTGGCACCCTCACAGTAGAGAAGTTTTTCCTCATGCTTAAGCAGAACCTCCTGTGTTCCAGCTTGTGCCCGTTGCTTCTTGTCCTATCACTGGCCACCACTGAAAAGAGTCTGGTCCCATCCTCTCGGCGCCCACCCTTTAGATGTTTATAAACATTAATAAGGTCTCCTCTCAGTGTGTTTTATACCTGGTTTCCTATTTCAGTTTGTCTGGCTTCAGCTTTCAACACTGATTCTTCTAAACTTGTCAATGAGATTAAAACCCTTTAGTATCCAATATGTGTACTGAAGCCTCATAATTCAGATTACTGCTTGATCTTTTTTTGAGAATATGCCTGTCACTTTGCTGGCTGTGCACATAAGCAAGGTACCTGGTGCTGAGCTACTTCCATGACTGAAACAACTGTGGAAATAATTTCAGAGGTGTAAGTAGGGGTTGAGCACTCACTTTCCCTTTCAGACTGGTTGGAACAAGATATCCTTGGCAGTCATCTCCTTATGTATCTATGTATCTTCACTTCTTGGAACATCTCTACCTGCTTTCTTACTGAGTAATTCTTGAAATTTTTTTTACAGTGGATGATAGTACCGGAGTTATAAATTGTGTCTGCTGGAAAAATCTTATGGTAACAGAAACATCTTTAGCAGGTAATTTATCAAATAAATAATTCCCCTTTTGACTCTACAGTTTTGTTCATTTATCTTACATAATAATGATAAAACTTGAAGAAGATCAAATTTGACTTTTTCTTTTTTTTTCTTTTTTTTTCTTTTTTTTTTTCTTTTTTTTAAATTATTTTAAACCATCATATCCTACGGCCTGGGCCATTTTGGGAGTTTTGTATTACTTTTGTGTTGTGTCCAGTGGTAATACCAATAAAACCACTACATCATGACCTGTCATGGATTTTCATTATCTGAGTAATATATTTAAATTAATATAATCATCAAATGGTTTGGGTTGGAAGGGACCTTAAAGATCATCCAGTTCCAATCCCCCTGCCATCAGCAAGGACAATTCTATTCTGTGACATTGTTCAGAGAATCCTCTTCTTATGGTTCTTTTTGTGACTTCATCTAGTGAGAAACTAGGCTAGAAATCTGCCACATGTCACAGCTTCTGTTTCCAAAGTCAATCCATTGACCAGCAACCTGGTTTACGTTTCCCACCCTTGTGATACTGTGGTTTCAGGATTCATCTTCTTTTCTTTGTTTGCATTCATATTCTCCTCCTGCTCATGCAAATACTGTCAATGATGAACTCGAAACTAGCTTAAAACACAGAGGGAAGATGCCAGCAGTCTTTTACAAATTGGGAAAGTTCTAAATGTGCAGAAATTGTACATTTGAAATGAATCTATTATTGCACTCAGTAACAGAGGAACTCAGTAGTGTCTGGCTTTCTCTTCGCTTTTTCTTCCACGATTTCTCATAGATCAAAGTGTGGAATACTTTCTACTTTGGACCTTCTTGAAAGCTCATTTAGTAGATTGACAACCCTGATATGGAGCTGATCAAATATTCCTAAAATAAATGTTACTAATGTCATCTGCCAGTGTTAAGGTTACCTATGCATAGAATGGGGAAAGGAAAGCTTGATGTAAAAGTTAAAATCTCTGTCTGTGGAACAAGCCCATTTGTACAGACAGATAATTCGCGCTTACTTACATTTAACAGTGATATGACAAGTGATATAAACGGTCCCAACTGGAACTGGAATCTAGAAGACAGCTCTCTCTTTTAGAGAGGTGATGTTGTGGCACAGCTTTCAAAACACATAATGGAGACCCACAATCAAATAATTTTTTTATGAGGAACTTAAATTCATTAAAGGAATTGCATGAAATACTGCTTGAAATAGAATGAGGACCTGGAATGCTTGTTTCAGCCTTATGTTCTTATTTTACACCTACATCAGTAGTGCTTGAATGGACACTATGCTGCTAATGGAAATTTGTTCATTTGTACCTGCTAAAGAAAACAGCTCCTAGGAGACACAGGAAACTTTCTTCCAGCCTTTTGTAATTGTGATCAGGGATACTTGGATCATTAATCAGGTTTTAATTTAGGAAGAATTTACTCCCCTGCAAAGGTGTGTTACGTAAATGTGAAGTTCTGTCAAGTTGCGTTCACCTCAGCATAGACATCGAATTGCATCACATGAATACTTTGGCTCCACCTCAGATGACTCATTCTTTTATATAAAAAGTTCAGCTGACCTTTTTTTTCTCCTCTCATCCATCTTAGCATGAGAAAATAAAAAAATGACAAAACCCATTTCAAATTAATGTTTCAATTTTGCAACCCATCTTTGACATTTTCAGTGCTAAATCAGTATCTCCTCCCTTTTACACTTTCCCCAGGAGAACTATTTAAATAAATATAATACTCTACACTAACTTTGTCACCCAAAAGTTTTGCTGCCCAGGACACATGACGCCTGGGACTTTACCCCTTTAGTAGTAGTATGACTCCTGTGATGCCTAGGTGTTTGGTTGAATGCAAAAGGACAGTCCTCTTGGCCTTAATGCCTGATCTCCTTTCCCCTGCTTCTTACAGGTCGTCCAAGCACACCCAGCAGTCTTACTGTGCTTGAACAGATGAAGAAACTCCAAGAAATGGTGAGCCAGAAAACCAAGCTGGAGATTGGGGATATTATCAGGGTCAGAGGTCACGTTCGAACCTACAGGCAACAAAGAGAAATTCAGGCTTCATGTTTTTGTGAGTGTTATGGATCTGTGACATATGTAACTTAGTTGTTTGAATTTGTGAGAAGATCTAAGTTGTATGTAATTCACTGAATAATTTCCACTTTGTTTTCTGGCATCTTGTTTTTCTAGGGAGATTGTCATCTGGATGTCTTTATTTCAGTTTTAGCAGTGTAAGGTTAGAAGACACA